AAAATTTACGGACACATGACTGCAGTGGGTGAAATTATAGAAGCAAAATTTAAATTTTTGTTAAACTTAAATCTTACATATAGAAATAATCACGTGTCCGTGAAATTTTGATGGCGAAAAATGGAGGTTGACTGTACAGTAATTACGTCATTGATTAAGCCGCTGATCAGTGTTGGTATATTAGCATCACATCCTCTCCATCGAAACAAACACAGAAAATGGCGACAACTGAACAAATGTTAGTGAAGGCTGAAGGGGAGCTGAGTGAGGCGAAGACGGCGTTTGCGAACTTCGAGGGGGACGAGGACGAGGGGAAGTTGCTGAAGGCATTGCGGGGGAGCTTGGGGAGGGGAGAAGTGTTAAATACGAGGCAGTTGCAGACATTGGACGAGCTCGCTGCAAAGGAGAAGACGCTGGTGGGGATGAAAGACTACTGGGCGAAGCAGGTGGGAGAGCTGCAACTCAGATTGACTGCACCTGCTCAACCAGGTAACGACTTTGTGATTCGGGCGTTGGGGACATAGAGTAGTGTGTACATAGGGTAGAGTAGACATTAGTAGAGTAGGAGTGACGGAGAAAATACCTAAGGTGGTTTTATTGTATTATGAGTTTGTTGGAACGAGACAAGTGGTGCATGTTACGGAGAATACTTGTGTCCACAGCCACTCAGCTATATAATAACTTCATGATTCAGCGTTGGGTGGTTTTTATGATTGGGGACATAGGGTTGTCTGGATACTGTTTATGACATCGAATAACTTGTGGTTGATGCATTTTTATTGGTTTACATTAGGGTCGTCTGCATCCATCTCTAATGTTCGTCGACGCTCTCATTCTCTCGACTTGATGGACGTAGACACTCAGAAGCGGCGCAAGTTGCTCGATGCTCAAAATCAGAACATACATCGTGTATTGACTATTCCAGCTCCCTCAACATCTGCGCGCCATTCAGTATTTTTCAAAACGGTTCAAAATCCTCCAACTGTGCTAAACCATCGTCCTTATAATTGTTTGGGGCCGCCAGTCATCTTTTATAATGACGTGTTCAGCAAATTTATTGCTGATTTTAGAAATGAAAAATTGCCAATCTTGCAAGACGTGCTGCATGTAGTTGACCCGCTTTTGGAGAGTATGGCGAGGAGCTATCAAGGTGAGAATAAACGTCTTGAAGCGTTACGAAGTCATTTGAGCACCATAATTTGGCTGCTGCAATCGATCAAGAATGATGACGAAACAGTCGCCGACAGTGTCATAACAGTACCTATTGAATCATTGCATGAAGCTGCAATGCTGGTTCTATTAGAAGTGAAAAACGAGATTGGGACTGGAGTTTCTGATCCTACCACCCAGGGAGCATTGTCGTATGTTCAGCGCTGGGCACAAGAACGTCTCAAAAGTTTCCGTCTGTGCTGTAATTGTTCATCGATTATTCTCGCAGTTGCCGGTCCTTGGATTTGTGTTATGGGTGCAATTTATCTGGAGAAGGGAGTTATTGATCCTCTTACTACATTCATACCTCTAATACCATTTCATCATCATGAATATTTCATGAGAACTGCATGATTACTTGAGTCTTTACGACTTGCTATCAGTTGTTTGAAGGCATTTTATGAGAATCTTACAACTGTTGACCCTGATTTGCAACGGTTTTTCCCTTACCCACGCCAATACGAATATGATAAAAAGATCATGTCATTCACCTATGATGAACCGCTTACAGAAGATCCTGATAAGTTCATTTGGAAAGCCAGAATGGATGATGATAAGTGCCAAATTGTTGTGAAATTTGCTCAGACGTACAACGTGGAAGCACACAAGTTATGTGCTGAGCAAGGGTTTGCACCACAACTTATCTATGCAAGCCAAACAGTGATCAATGAATGGTGGATGATTGTGATGGAGTTTCTGGATGGAATGCCACTCTACAGCACTGAAACCTCAGCCTCAGAACCTGCTCGAGCATGAAACGGTGACAATATAGATACTTTAAGGCAATTGCATACCAGGCTATATGGTTTGCACATATTGCTGCTAGGGAATCCCAAACTCCAATAACAGTGCAAAGGATAGAACAAAAGTACTTTGGCCTACTAGAGCACTATTGTCAAAGGACCACCAACCCAACACTCTGCAATAGTTGGCCATCGAAGACATTGCTGGCTGTCTATTTCACTCCGTCCTTCTAAGATATATAGAAGATGACAATCCATCTTGTAAATACTTAAAATAGAATGTAATATAGATAGACTTATGCCTTAAAATATGTACTTTTATTTTTATTTTTATTTATATGTTATGCTTTCCATGTAATATGTACTGACACCATATGGTGCCAGCTAGTCTTTTTAGGTAGTAGAAGCACAGAAAATTAGGGGTCACCCCATGTGTGCCTAAATAAAGACCCTCAAAACCTCAGCCTCAGAACACAACGCGATTGTACATGATGTTGAGCGTGCCATCACATTGCTCCATAGTCATGACCTTGTTTTTGGTGATCTCCGCAGTACAAATATCATAATTCACAAGATTGATGGGGAGACTAGGGCAATGTTGGTCGATTTCGACTGGTGTGGACAACACCAGAATAGCTGCTATCCACCTAAAATAAACTCAGCAATAAGGTGGCCAGATGGAGTAGAAAGTTGTGCATTGCTTGACAAAGCTCATGATCTCCATTGGCTGAAAATACTTCGGGAAAAGAACAATTGGTTTCATGAAAGTATAGAAGCACAATAAATTTTCTAAGTATTATAGATTTAATCATTAAAGACATTAGCACTGAATTGAACTTAAATCATGGGTATTCTATGCTTTAATAAAGAAATACAAACATTTGCTATTAATGAAATATGTTCTGCCTGATATTAGTTGAAATTTGATACAATTTATAGCTAACCAAATAATTCCCACACAGTTCATTCAATTATTAACTCTCCCATAATTACAATAAAACTTACAGTGTGGGACAAAAAAAACTGGGATTTTTTTGGTAACATTCAATCGTGCATAGAGGTCGATTTAAACAATGTAAAATGTAAAATGATTGTCAGATAAGCGATTTTATAATATTTACTTTGAACTGCTTGTTTATTTTTTCACTAATACCAGTTCTTAAATTCCTTTAACATTCTCAAAAACGCTTCAAGAAACATCAATTAGAATGATGACTTCCAAACAAGAGACAAATCGCCAAACTATACAACAATTGTAGGATCAAAGCATTCGGAATGGTGTGGAGATTCATAAACGCAAGATTATCCCACAGTATGGTTTATGATAACATTAAAAACCTCGAACAACCTGGAACCGTTAACCCTAACCCTAAAGGATCAAATAAAGCACTTTGCTTCTACGTAAGGGATAAGATAATTTAATACTGTTTTTCCCGAAATAATAGGCAACAATTTTATGTATACATACTCTGAAGACATCTTCCAGACATTGATGACCTATTAAGAGACGAATGGCGTTTCAACAAGACAATAACCTAAAACATACTAAAACTTTCTTTGGGATAACATGCCTAAAGCTATAGACTGGCCCTTCTAATAGTCTTGACTCAAATCCAACAGAGAATCTCTGTAATAATGTTAGAAGAAATGTAGAGAAGAAAATATTGGTGATTTATGGCATTTTATGGTCAATGAGTGGGATGATATTCCACGACTAACCCTAATTGGTTAGTACTATCAGTGAAACTGCCAATGTGAGCTTGTCATAGAAAGAAATGGTGAATGCATTCCATGCTGATTTTTTTAAAATAAAATCTACTGGTTTTCAGCTTTCAAATACATAAATTTAATCTTACTAGCACCATTAGTTTTTGCGTAATGTGTAATTTCGTAATCCCGGATTTTTTTGTCCCACACTGTATATATAGGATTACCCGTGTGTGGAAAATAATAATAATAATAATTCGTCTGAATATGAAAGAGCAATGCGTTTCTTGAAGTTAGGTTGCTACTGTGGTTGTTCAAAAATGATCTCCAGAGAAAAGTTTGCTGAATTACGTGAGGCGTTTCAAGCTCTCTCCAGATCCGAACAAGATGTATTTTAATGGCCCAGTTGAAAGCGATGAATGGTGGAGAAATAACTGCCAGTCGACGTCTTAAAAAGAAGACGCGTACTAATAAAAGAACTTTTTATTATTGGGATCGCAATCTCCTCTTTGCCAGAAAACATATCTTAATATGTTAGGAATTGGCCGCACGCACTTCGAAAACGTCAGAAATCATCTAGTAACGAATGGTATAATACCACGCGTTCATGGTAACATCAAACGAGTACCGCGATGGAAAACCAAAATAACCATTGACATAACCGTTGCCACCGCCGTAAAGAATTTTCTCGAAAACTA